AACAAGAGTTGGGACCTTGGAGGTCTTCAAGACCAACCCCGCTTGGACAGGAGACCCTTGCAGAATAACAGTTGGAAGGGATCTTGAAGGGTATCTAGTCCAACCCCCTGCTCAAGCAGGAGACTCTTGCAAAATAACAGTTGGATGGGACCTTGGAGGTCCTCTAGTCCAACCCTCTGCTCAAGCAGGAGACCCTTGCAGAATAACAGAGCTGGAAGGGACCTTGGAGGTCTTCTAGTCCAGCCCCCTGCTCGGGCAGGAGACCCTATATACCATTTCAGACAAGTGGCTGTCCAGTCTCTTCTTAAAAGCCTCCAGTGATGGAGCACCCACAACCTCTGGAGGCCAGCTGTTCCACTGGTTAATGAACAAAATAACAAAGAGTTGGAAGGAACCTTGGAGGTCTTCTAGTCCACCCCCTGCTCAAGCAGGAGACCCTATGACACCATTCCAGTCAAGTGGCTGCCCAATCTCGTCTTTAAAACTCCCAGTGTTGGAGGCAAGTAGTTCCACTGGTTAATTGTCCTGTTAGGAAATTGGTTAAGGATCGTTAATTTTGAACGGTCACTAAACAGAACAGTTGTAAGTCAAGGACTACTTTTATGTGTGGAAAAAAAACACCTTGGGGGGGGGGGACTGGACAAAGATACTGCCCTGAGAACAGATCTCTGCCTTGGAAGAGGGAGCTGAAATGGGATATGGGGAAGACCTTGGGAGATTCAGGCAGGAGATGCTGTTGGGAACGGTCAGAGAAGAGGCAGCACAGCCCTCAGCTCCATCCTGGATGGAGAAAGAAACTCAGAAAACTACGTAGTTTATTAGGTAGTAAATGAAAAGGGGGGGGGGGGAGAAAGAGAATTGCATTTTTAGATTTGCAAAATTCTATCCACAGAGTATTACAATCAAGTAGAATTAACTCACCCGAAGGTCTATGGCAGGGGTAGGCCACCTTGGCTCTTTTATGACTCGTGGACTTCAACTCCCAGAATTCCTGAGCCAGCATGGGGGAACTATGGCCCCCTCATGACTCGTGGACTTCAACTCCCAGAATTCCTGAGCCACCATGGCTCAGCTTGGAAACCTCTCCCTTTCCCCTCAGCATGGCTGGCTCAGGAATTCTGGGAGTTGAAGTCCACGAGTCAT